TTAACCCCTTTATGTTAACCTTTTATCATCATTATCATACCACTCTAAACCCCGAGCTGTTTTGTCTCGCTGAAGCGTATCACTTTCATTAACCAGTCACTGTTTGTGTAAATCAACAAACTGGTAATTTCATTGTAGTAAATAAAGCTGTATGTCAAGTTTTAAACTACATAGTTGTTAAATTCCAAATGTCTGTTCTTACATGTTTAATTAAAACTGTTAGGATAGAATACCATTTGGTGGGGGCTCAAATAATATAATAATTCTTTAATTATTAATAATAACACCGGGAGAAGGTAGATGACGGAGGAATCACTTGCCCTGTCTAATAATTCATTAAGTATGATAGACATCTAAAATTCCTTGCCTTCTCTTGTGGGTACCAAGTGCAGCTAATGTTAAAGTACTTAACGAGCCAATATGGCTGTTTTCTTGGATATCCAGGACTTTGTCTGAGAGCAACATAGCTCAGATTTTAGTTCGGTAATCTGGTGGAGGGAATGGGTTGAGAGGAACATCCCTATTCAACAACATAAACATTTAAACCACCCGTCACGTCACACACGAGGACAGGATTTGATTGGTCGATTTCATTGTGCTGCATGGAGTACACATAAATAAACAGACGAGAAACCCATGAGGCCATAAAAACATTATAGATAGAAAAACAAATAAACACGTATTGGTCTGCACTCAAAGAAAGGTAGAATGACACACGAGGCAAGATAAAGATCGAAAGCTATAGTTATCATGAGGGGAGCCACTTCGCATTTGCCCCACCGCCCTAAGCTTGTCCAGTCAGAATACTATTTACACGACCGGCTCCAGCTGTAACTAAAAGCTGTAATTAATAGCTAAAGTCGGGCTCGGCTGTTTAATTTATAATCAAAAGAACCAGGTTTTTTTTCCCATTACAGCTAGTCTTTGTATGACATTTGCGTGGATGTTTTTTCTTCTTCTAAGTTTGGCTTCATTTGGGCCGAGCATCGAGGGTAACTCCAAGGAACCTTGTGTATATACCCGAAGTATTGCTTGATTTGGTAACATTATAGATATTCTTTCTGTTTGTATAGTTTGCTTTAATTTTAGACCGTAATTTCTTTGTCGAGTTCTCTACTTTCGATACTGACATGCGAAGTCAGTGCTAGTTGGCCATTGATAGTGTTTTCCAATGTGGTCTAAATAGCAAAGTTATCAACTTGTAGAAATGTGTACGCAGTGTTAGTGACAACCTTTAGTCATATCAGTTATGAAATCAAGAAAAGACATAGTGCTTCTACACTGCTTCCTGGAACTCGCGGTCTCATTTAAATTACTTGTGGAAGAGGAGGGTAATCTACTTTAACTCTTCTATCGTTGTTACGGAAACGATCTTTTCCGAGGATAAATGTTAAGACCAACTCCCGTTTTTAAAACTTTCAGCTATCTACCGGCAGAGAGTGTGGAAAGTAGAGAGTATAATTTAAAAAACTATACTTTAAATATAAGGATGAACACGACTTGTTAAGACTCATAATTTCTTTGTTTATTTTAAAAACTGAGCAATCAGTATGAGTTAAATCTGTTACGCAACATAGGAACATGGACGAAAATTTGCTATTCTTTTTATTTCTTTTTCTTCTTCTTCTTCTTCTTCTTCTTCTTCTTCTTCTTCTTCTTCTTCTTCTTCTTCTTCTTCTTCTTCTTCTTCTTCTTCTTCTTCTTCTTCTTCTTCTTCTTCTTTTTCTTCTTCTTCTTCTTCTTCTTCTTCTTCTTCTTCTTCTTCTTCTTCTTCTTCTTCTTCTTCTTCTTCTTCTTCTTCTTCTTCTTCTTCTTCTTCTTCTTCTTCTTCTTCTTCTTCTTCTTCTTCTTCTTCTTCTTCTTCTTCTTCTTTCTCTTCTTCGTCTTCTTCTTCTTTCAATGGTCCAACACTGAATTAGACTGGCTAATCCTGAATTAGCCATCACGGTTGAACGTTCATTTTCTTTGTATACAAATTGGCATTGATTCTGTAGTGCCTTATGACATTTAATTTATGGGAGTCGCTGTGGCGGAGCGGCTAGACGCTCGCCGAGGATCGGAAGGCCGTGGGTTCACTCCCTGGGGGAGCCAGACATTTTTTTTTTAATGTACCAGGTCAACACAGCCTTGAGTGGGTACTGGGTGCAGTCACAGGAAGTAAAAGCTGCCGGCGTGATGCTGACTACATCACCCATCTTGCGCTGATTGGTCTATTAAATACAGGTCTAGCCCTCTATGCCCTATACGCCTAAAGGCGTGGAAAAGGGCCCTTTACTTTACCTACATTTTCTATAACCACGGGCCTAAAATACAAAGACAGTCCACTGTTTAGTTAGCCATTACTTGCTACCGCATGGAAAATGTATTCGCGTAAATTAAGTTCTTGAGTCTTTATCTGGTAATCTGGTAATCTGGTAATCCTAGTTTCAGCATCATAGCAAACGGGTCACCCCATTGTTGCTCCGCTCCTGTGCCAACGAAAAACACTCGTAGCTCACAGTGTCACTCCATGCACTCAACTCAGAAGCTGGGTGACGAAACTATATCCTTCCAGTCTACAAATGGAGCAAAAATGCAACGGCCACCGCCTGGCAGAACTGCCACGGCTTTAAAAAAAAAAAAAAAAAGTGGTCGTGCCTAGTGTCCACTGTGACTTGAAGCATTATGTGAGGGGTTAACAAATGGTCACCCCAGCAGTACCCTCACTATTAGCTGGGAAAGGGACTTATGACATTACATCCACCAGCAGGCGTCGCCCCTACAACGACCTGACTGCCTTCGTTAACGACTGTTCACCCAACAGCCATGCAGTTCTTTGGCACGAAGGAGACACCTTGAACTTGGGTTTCAGAATGCCGACTTCCTATAAAATGTTATTTTGTGTTTTGTTATCACAATCGACGTCACTGCACATTGGGCATACCCATGCGTGCGCAGTCCTCCGAAGCAGCAGCCACTCCAAAGTACTTCTACTAATTGTCCCCATGAGAAGCTGGTTATATTGTCTCCTTTCTCGGCCTCGCAGACGCAAAGACGTGCTTCACCATGCTTAACTCCCATGTCACGCAATCGTGTTAGTGTCAGGGATTCGATATTATCCACTAGCCCAGTACGTACAGCGTTAACGATATCTGCTCTGTCCATGCTTTTTCCCGCAATCATTAGTGCTGTGCTTGCCAGTTGGTCCGCTCGCTCATTTCCCTTTACGCCCGCATGACCCGGTGTGTAGATCCAGGTTACGGAAGTTAAGTGCGATTTCCGAATGCTTTCTATCCATTCAGAGCGCATACTGCCTGTTGCTATTTTCTGAAGCATATTCATTGAGTCTGAGACAATTACTGCTTGTGTGGCGGTTTGCTCGGATACCCATGCTAAAGCTCTAGAAGCAGCGGCTATTTCCATGGTCACGCTTGACGTGGTTGTCTGGTAAGCGCCGCTGTCCTCATGTATTGTTTTCCCCCTTCTTTGCGCTGTGTATGCCCATGCTGACCTTGATCCGCGCTTCACGGACCCATCTGTGTAGATGATGATATCTTCTGGGTCTGAATGCTGATCTATCAGTTCTCTTACTTCTGTGTCTATGGCCGCAGGAATCTGATCCCGACAGTACCTTCCTAGTGTGATGACAACCTTAGAGATGCCATGCATGTCTACTGGTGTATTCATCCATTCTTTTCCGTGCCTGATAACGCGTAGGTCACATACCTGCTGGATCAAATTCTCAGCCTTTGCCATCCAAGAGCGGCCTCTTTTGAGACGCGTTCCTTTTGTGTCGTATATAGCTTTGTGCAATGGGTGGTTAGCGTCTGCCGATACCCTCATGTAAGCCTTGACTTGTGCCACTTTGTATCTGCTAGTCATCGTTGGCAAACCCAGGACATAACGCATGGCGTTGCAGGAGGTGTCTTTTGTGCAGCCGAGTATGAGTCTCATGGCCTCATTTTGTACTCGGTCCAGTCTTTCTAGCTGGGTTTTGCTGACAGTGAGGAGGCCAAGACCATAGTCAATGACGCTAAGCACAAGCCCTTGATAGAGAAGGAAAAGTAGGCGTTGTTCAATATCAGCTGCTGCTAGCACCTTGAGTGCTGTCAGACCTTTTCTGGCTCTAAGTATGACGTTGTCTACGTGGCATTTGTATGACAAGCATCTGTCAAATGTCATACCCGGGTATTTCATGGTGTCCGTTCTCTCAATGTCCACACCACATATGCTTACGACTGGCGTTGGTGTATTGACGATGTGAGTATTTAGAGAGAACCATGTTAAGGAGGCTTTGGACGGGTCTTGAGTCTTTGCAACCATGTGCTCTGGATCTTAGCGTACATGGGTTCTTGGGGTCTTTGCGTACGTCAACTCTTTCTTTTGTCTTCATGTAAATGGGTTCTTGGATGTTTGCGTACATGTGTTTTTTGTGTTTTTGCGTACACTGGCTTTTGTGTTTTTGCGTACACGGGTTCTTGTATCTTTTGCTTCTGATTACACGGGTTCTTGTGTTCTTGCGTACATGAGTTCTTGGGGAAGTAATATCAGTGGTACCCTAGAACAATAGGGTTACATATCTTAAGTCGGTGTCTGTGGCTAAGACCCTGTGAACGTGATTCTTAATTATGTGGTGTTCTCCCAGCTGCGATAGATTTGACAACAAACTGCCTTGCATTTATTTCAACATAGGTATCAAGATCAATGGCAATGGCAAACTACTGGACGTTAAATTGACTAGTGAAACCACAATCAGAAAAAAAAATGCTGTGATTAGTTTTGCAAGGTTCTGTAAAGGACACACAGCTAACCTTTTATGTCTATAAAGTGTAAGGTGATTTCCTGGATTTGTAACTATTTGATTCACATACTTGACATACTAATCATACAGAACTCTAATCCTGGGGAAAAGGAGGGAAAGAGCTATAGGTCATGTCCTGCTATAACATTCTACTTATTTTAAAATCAAAAATCAAAAGAATTAAAACAGAAAAATGTTAAGACTAACTGCCTGCCCCATGTTAGCCGATAATAACAGTAGAATAACAGTCTGGTGTGAATAATGTCACATGTTGTGCCAATACATCTCCTGTGTAGACGTCACATTTGCCAATGACGTTTTTCACGCACCGGGATAGAGTACTTAACTTTAGACACCGTCTCAAGTGTTCATCTGTTGTTTCTGCATTGATGGCGGGGTACTGAGAATACAGACAGTTGTCGATTTCTTCAAAGTATTCCGGACTGTTGTCAACGATGCATTCCGGCTTGATTTTTGTATCACTGCACAAAATACCCATAGCAGAAAATATCTGCATTCCAAAGGGGAATTCCCGAAAATCAGCTGAAATCAGAAATATCATAGATTGAATTGTTGATAAATTCATGAGGTCATTGAACTAGCTTGTGAAATATATTTCTAGAAGTTAATACAATCGGTTTTCAATCCTCGACATACAAGGGTTCGATTTTCCAGCAGTGGTTTTGGGTAAGATCGTATCCTTAGCTCTGGGGAAACTCCAACAAGAATGTATCTTGGAAAAGACTATGGGCTGACTAGACAATAGTGGTGCAGCTTAGCAAACCTCCAGTGTGGAGATGGAACAAATAAACAAATCAACAAACAAACCAAAAATATATATTCATATTCTTTTGCGGCTCTGTTACTTTGAGGCTAGTGAACTTGTTTCACAATGCACTGCTCAGCGCTTACAAGTTTCGTTTCTCGAAGCGAGCGGTTGGGGAAAAGTAACTGAGAGTCGCAGCGTGAAAGAGTTCGGGACCTTAGCACGTAATAATTTCCATAGTCAGCAATGGATACATTTCCGCCAACCTCAGATGTGGTGAAAACAATTATCTTTTGTCCATTCACAGAAGTACAGTAGAGGACAGAAGAGGTGTCGACAGAATTCAAACTCTCCGTGTTCACATAATGAGACGAACTAGTAGATTGTCACACCAAAGGTGTCTATAATACACCGTGACCACCTGGTGCTGGTCAACTTATGCCCATTCTGCAAAAAACCGTGCATTACAGTCATTTGTAATCCTGTACGGTGCTTGGGTCATCTCCATTCTCTCCTTCGCAGCTATAGGTGTTGATTTCATACCGCCTGTTGTGACTCCTAGTGCTTGATTTCGCATTTTGTCTAATTCTTGTAGTGTGGTTTTTGATGCTGAACTTCACACCCTTTATCCGTATTCAAGGTGGGGTCGAACATTTTGTTGTAAAAAAAAAGTAAAGTAAAGGTCCCTTTTCCACGCCTTTAGGCATATAGGGCATTTAGGGCTAGACCTATAGTTTTATAGACCAATCGGCACAAGATGGATGATGTGGTCAGCAACACGCCGGCCGCCTCTACTTCCTGAGACTGCACACTGTACCCACTCAAGGCTGGGTCGACCTGGGAGCCAAAGTCATTTTTGAAAAACGTCTGGCTCCGCCAGGAAGCGAACCCACAACCTTCCGATTTGCGGCCACGGGCACTCCCCGAAAATTTTGTTGATAAAATATGTTTCCATAGGCACCCCCCCCCCCCCCACCTTGTTCCACTTAGTTTTCTAAGGATAGCTTCCCTCATTCTGGCTTTTGTTGCTGCCACGTTGAAGTGTTTTCTTCTTGTTAACCTGCGATCATTGGTGACTCCGAGGTATATGGGCTCCTTATCCTCTCTCAGAGGTACTCCATTTATGTGAATAACGCCTGATTTATTGTCTTGGAGAGATGATGTAAAGCGTGGTGCAACATTTGCCTAGGGTGATGCAGATACACCATTTGTGAGCACATGTGGCCATTGCATCTATGGCTCTTTGTAGCTGTCTAGTGGTCACTGGTTTGTGTGCACCACAGTAACAAGTCATCAGCATACATTGCAGTTTTAATTCCATGGGATAGTTCAGGAATGAGGTCCTTGATAAAGAGTAGAAAGAGTGTTGGAACAGGACACCACCTTGGGGGACACCATGGCGCAGCAAGACTTTTTTGCCTTTGGTTCCGTCTATCTGTACTCGGGTTCTTTTGTTAAACAAGCATGCTTTAACCCATTTGTACATTTTCTCATACACTTTGTAGTTTATCAGTCTCTACATGAGACCTTTGTTCTTGACCTTGTCCATGACTTTCCTCAGGTCTTTCTACGCCGTAAGCACCAGCTTCTTTCCCATGAAGGCATCCTCAATTTCTTGCGAAAGGTAAGTTGCCTAAAGCCTGCCTGCTGCGGCGTGAAGATGTTTCCACTTTCCATGTACCATTGGAGTCTAAGAACGACAATGTGTTCCATTATTTTACCTAGACAGCTGGTAAGGCTGACTGGTCTATAGCTGGAGGCATCGGAACTGTCCGTTCCTGGTTTAAGGAGAGATATCGTAATTACCTCACTCCATATCTTCGCCACCAGTCCAACAACGATTAAAGATCTGTAGCAGATTTTTTCTAGCTGTTGTCCCAAGGTTCTTGATTATTTCGTTAGTTATTTCATCAATTCCAAGCGATTTTCAACAATTTCAAGTTTGATATTGTTA